TTCCAGAGTGATGGACGGTTAAATTTTCCTCGAAGGGAGTTGATCCGAAACTCAGCCCACCCCTCCTCTCCTGGCAGGGCACGCCGTACGTCGTTGGAGATCCCCAGCAAAGGTCGTGTTTGGTCGCTGGAAGAAGGGAAAGGGGGGGGGGTGGCGTAATTGATTTTGCGCAAAATGTTTTTGATGGATGACTTTTCTCGGTTTCTCCTGTTTCACCGCTAACCGACTTAACAGATAGTTTTTGGGGGAAAAGAGGAGGATTATCCGGAATAAGAACTAAACGATTCGGGAAAATTTAGATGGTGTATGGTTGTAGGGGCTCGAACCAGAAAATTGAATTCTGAGGGAGGAGGGTTCACATTTTGCAAGCATTCCCCAGAGACAGGAAGTGTCCTGGCCATCTCCCCCACTCTTGCGCCTTGCCACTTGCCGACGCGATTTTATGAGCTTTTTCTGCAGTACCTGAATATCTGCCTAATCGTCATGGTTACCGATGAGATCTCTTTCTCATTAATCCCTCTCTTCAGCTTTTCAGATCTATGGACAGGAACTAGCTTGAGTGCAAGCTTTCATCGAACATTTCATTTTCTCCACCCATTACTTCAATTTTCTTTCCATAGTGGGAAATTGCCTCCGACTGGAAGCGCCCTTGCAGACTGACCTAATCGGGTGCTACTTGGGAACGTCGAAGTAGCATCGAAACTTGCTGACGGTAGAAGACACTCATGGAGATAGACGTTAGATATAGACATTCTTCTCGCCCTTCTGGTCTATTCCATGGATCTGGACTGGTTACTGGGCCATGTGTGGTGGCTTGAAGGTTGCCCATGGCTGCAAATCAGAGGGTAGGCTCGATTTGCCTCGGTGGGAGCACCGAATGGTACCCGAGTAAGCTTGTACGGCCACCTTGTGAAGACCAGTAAACTCCTGTGAGCAAAACGTCTCACTTTTCCCCAGTTTCACAGGACTTTCCAGATCTGTGAGACCATTATTGAAAAGGAATTAACAAGACGAACTGGCGTAGGTGCAAAGTGTCCCCTCTGAGCCGAACACCGCTCAGGGAGTGTGTCGTCTTCTTTTCAATTTTGTTTTGAATTGATCACATTTGTGGACGCATGAGATGTTGTTGTGATATTCGTCCTTTCAATCTGATAATGTTTTTGTTTCTGTAATTTTGCTTGTGAAATGTTTCCCTCTGGCCGATGGACCGCTGTGGCTAGAGCTTTATCACGCATCTTCGACCTGAAAGCATTTGCTTCCAATAGATACCTGTTTTATGTTGATGGACTAATGCATGGCGCATCCTAAGAGTTGTCAGCGTTCGTCTTTGTTAGCTGCAGAATCATTACGGTCTTATTTTTCTACTCAAAATTCAAGGATAATTAATCTTTGCTCGGAATCGCAGCTGACTTCTTGAATCAAATCACGACCTTTGACCTTGACTTCTGTTTCAACTTGTTCCAATTCAAATGTCGCCTTAATTGTGATTTGAAGTGGCACGCGTGGCGCACCCAAGCTGGGAGAATCGATTGTGTTCGGGGCTTCTCTTATTTTCTTTCTGTTCGTGCCGCTTTTTGATGACTACGTTTCTTTGTGATATTTTTCTATTGAAAGTACCTCTCAAACACCTTCATTTTTCTGTTTATTTATTGACGCTATTCCTATACAATATTCGGTACTATTGAACAATTCCTACCCCAAAAACTCAAAAAATTTTTTTTCGCTGAAACGTTGCCTATAGGTGTAATTCGATGCCCTGATCACGAATATCACATTCGTTTCGAGCGCTGGCGTCATTTGGCGCCATTATGCGCCAATTTAGCGCCCACCACTCTTTTCACCAATGTTGATGAAACTCGCATTATGGGGTTTCATTCGACGGTTCCTGATTGTACAAATCACATTTATTTTTTGCGGGCCGGCGCATTTGGCCATAGCTGGCGCATAATTTGGCGACCAAATGCCCGGCGCCAGCGCGTTGCAAAACCAGTGTGATTTTCGTAATCAGGATGTTCGTTAAAACTAGGGCCGCCAAATTCGGCGCATGAATGGCGCCAGATGACGCCAGCACTCGAACGGAGGGAAATGTGATTTCGTGTTCACCGCATCCGAATTACAATCTATATAGGCAACGTTAGGAATATGGCGTCAATAAATAAATTCGTACATAGAATTCTATGATTTCTTTTATTTGAAACTTATTTTTTTTTCTAAATTCTTTTTCGCTTCGATTTTATTACGATTTCCTCTTGCTTTTTGCACCTCAATCTAATCCACTTATGGAATCCGGCTTGCGGAGAGGTATTTTTTGAATGTTGTGGAATTTTTTTCCCATTTTGTGCACGCTATTGGTTCCTGCCCCCCCCCCCTCCCGATTGCGCAGAAAAAGGGCGGAACTACTATTCCTTATAGTCGGAAAAAGGACTTTCAGGAAAAAGGAACGTTATAAGAGAACATCGCCATTTCACCTATCGTGATGAACTCTGTAAGAGATGGTCCGTGTCAGTGCGCCACCCAGTAGGGGTGTTTTGCCAAAAACCGAGTGGCATCAGAAGTTTTTTTGTTCCGTACGTAGGTAGACATGCCATTCGATATCCTTTCAGGGCAAGACAAATGGGATGGATGGTTTTATGGGATATCCTTGACGTAATTCCTTGAACGGCATTGTCGCAACTTGTTCTTCCATAGGATTAACGATTGTTGAACATTTGTGAATGACGAACGTGCTGTAATGACATCTCCTTTCATACGACGCCCCCTTCTTTAATCTTATGCCCCACTTTCACCCTCGCATACCATTTTCAAGTACTCCTCCAGCTGAATGTGAGAAAGATCAGTCTGGTCTGCTTCTGCACGCTCCCGAATGGTTTCACTTTAGTCTAGTCACGTATATAGCCAGACTTCGTGGCGCAGTTTACTCATGGCGCTCCATGGCTGCCTAAACGCCCTGAGTTTGAACTCTTTTTGAATTTCTGAGGACATTTGAAGTTCATGTCGGTGTGTTCTTAAAAGACGCTCCTTCTAGCCGTTCATCATCGTCTCATAGCTGGGGTCATTGCTTGTTCACCTCTCGTTGCCCCCTCCCCAGGATTAATTAAGACGTTAAGGACAGATTCTCCCTCAATACGACCCACGCATCTTTCTCAACAGCGACGAACTCAACTGTCCGGTAGACGGGAGGGTAGATGTCCAATCAACTGTCGGAAGTGGCGAAGTACTGCCGCTTGAACCTGTAAAGGGAAAACCATCATTCACAAGGTTCTGTGATTGGGCCGAGCACCCCCTTACGGGCCGCTGAACTCAGGCAAGGGTTCTGTGCGCAGGGTACAGCATCGTGATGTGTGAAATGGTGGTGTCAGTACGACCCCCCTCCCCCTTCGAAGGAGGGTCTCGGTGCGACCCTCTCTTCCACAACACCTATCTACCACTTCCTACAAGTTCCCAGCTTCCTACCAGTTCTCCAAAACTTCCCACATTTTCCAGTTTTTCACCAAAAATTTTTCCGTCGAGCGGGATCGAAGAAGGGTATATAGCCAACGTGAAACAAGAAAAACCGCGAAAAGTCAACAACCGTGCCAGGAAAATTTTTTCCCAACCGACGCTGCAAATTTCTATCAAAGGCGGCACATACGACCCCCTTCCGCCCCTCCCCATGTGTTTCACACAACTATGCTGTACCCTGTCTGTGCGTCTTTTCTGAATGACGTCCAATCAGTATCAGTTATTCTTTCAAGACTTCCAATCATTTCTTACGAATGAATTCAAGGGTCGCTGCCAATACAGAGGGTGAGGGTGGTACTATAGCCTTTTTTTAAAGATTTTGCAAGGCATTTTGCCTTCGTGCGGGACAAACTGCGGACTTTTCAAAGTGCAGACGCCTACACCCTTAGGGGAACAGTTCTTGATGGCTTGAGGATGTAAATGATTGCGTGGGAAACGTAGTGTGGTCCGTAATGGACAACTGTGTACCAGTTTCGCGGCTAGAAGTTTTATGTTTAAGGCGCTCAAGCACGATTGACACCTCTTTTTCAGTTACTCCGCCCTACACACCTCCTTATTACAGGAGTCCCTGTTAAAACTTTCCAGCGTTCCTCTTAAAATTTCTTCTTCAGTGAAGAGTGCATAGCAGCTTTTCTCCCGTATTCCAGCATCACTAATTACGCTTACTATCGCGGACTGTGCTTTTAAACACTCGGGCTTCCCTTGGAGAGCCAGGCTCCTTACCAGCTGGCCCTTTTCGCTTGAAGGAGAGGCACGCCAAGACTACGCAGAGGGTGGCACCGGCGCTGTTCGGCGACGGGGGGGGGGCATTTCGTACTTTCGCTGCTTCAGTAGTTCCGGTTTACAAGTCTCACTCTGGTGAAACCTGTGAACTCTTGTGTAGCTGGAGCAAGCTCGTCCACCCACCATGATAAAACCTGTCAACTCTCGTAAGGCTCTCGGTGGTTCAACACGTCAATGGTAAGTGGCAAAAAAGCAAAATGCCACCCCCCTCCCCTGTCGCCGAACTGCGCCGGCGGCACCTATTTAAAAGTGGGATTTTGTTACCGCAGACGCTTTCCCTCCTGTACATTTAAGTGGGAGAGAATTTTCACGAAAGTCGTTCTGAAAGGGAGATCGGTCATTCAAACACTTGATTCCGTGAATATTGAGTTGTTCGAAGAACTCTTCTAGAGGGTGAGTGAGTGTCCTCTCAAGACTCCATTTTTTGATTTTATTTTTTCTTTTGGCGTCCATAAGAAGATCCTGAGAGTTCCGAAGGGCACTGAACAGTAGCACTCTTTTTTGAAAGATCACCTCTCTATTTTCTGGGTTTAATCGTGGTGCGTTATTAGGCATTTGGCTGTTTTTATGCTTCAAAGCGTTTCCATTTGGTCGTGTCGATTCGCGCTCATTTATTTGGATATCTATGAGTCGATCTCCTTTTCAGAGAACTCGCCTGGTCCATGCAGCAGCAGCAACTGAAGAAGTTGATGTGAAACGGAAGCGATTAGATGTGAATGATGTCTTCGGCTAATGAGGATAGATTGGCGAGCAGTGATGGATCGCATGTACGTCTGCTGGATTCTTTTTCTCTTCTCAATAGCTCAGAAAGGCCCATTAAGCCGAAAAATGCTATAAGCCAATCACTTGCCCCTTTTTGCCTGCCAGAACTTTCGGCGGACCGATATCTGCTAACAGGGCACGGCATGCGTTGAGGATAGCTAGCGAGAGGGGTCGTATTTGGCCACTGAAGGGGAGGGGCGTACTTGCCTTTGAGAAAAATGTTTTCGGTTTTTGACTCTCGGTTTTTCCCTTTTCACGTGCGCTATGTATCCCGCCCAGGGCACGCCATCGTTGTGATGATCACAAACGGGGTCGTATTTGACCGCGAGGGAGGGGGATCGTATTTGGTCGTTGTTGGGAGAGGGACTGCCAAAGATCTACAACTACTATTTCCGATAGTTGAAAATGATAGTCAAATCCTGACGACCTCCCCTCCCCACTCGTCAGGAAAATTTTGGGGAAAAACCAGAAAATTTTGGGAAAATTTTGAAGAAACTGGTAGGAGGTTGGAGAAGATTTGAAGAATTTGTTCTGTTTCTCATTGGGTATATATCCTCCTCCCCCGTCCCCGCACGGAAAATTTTCTGCTGAAAAACTGGAATTTTTTTCGGGAATATGGGAAAAGTGATAGGAAGTTGAGGAAATCTAGGAAAGTGGTAGGTAGCATGGGGGGTCGTATTTGAGGATGGAATTAGGGGGGTCGTATTTTTCAGGAAATGATCACAACGCGATGGCGTGCCCTGATCCCGCCCCGGCCAGCTCGACGGCAATTTTTTTCTGGGGGAAAGAAAATGAAAGTTTGAAAAAGCTCCGAAAAAGCGGGTCGTAGAAAAATCGAAGATTTTGAGAAGGTGCTAGGTAGGAGAAGCAGGGTGCTAGGTTAGGAGAGGAGGGATGGGAAGGAGGGTCCCACGAAGGGGGGGGGAATTTTCGAGAGGATGGGTCGTGTTCTGCTTAACGTTTCTCCAAGGACGTGCGCTGTCTCAAAGCTATGGCAATTGTGGTCCTATAGAGTCTAATAGTGATCATTCAACGTTCATTCTGACATTTCTGGTATCATAGGAAAAAGGGAGTGGCAAAATTTTGAGAGCTAAGAGACTGTGGACCGTAGTGAGACTGGAGAAGCTCTGAACCGCAAGGGAGTCCTGTGCTATTTTACTTGGCAAATTTTGACGTGTGGAATAAAGGTCGGAACGCCCTTCTCTAGATGTCCTCATCTGACCGTCCATGCCTTCCATATCCTACTTAACATCTTCCTGTGTCTTCAGAAGTTCCTTACACTTTTCGCAGTTATGTGGTGTAAAAGTAAGGGTAGGGGGGGGGGTGCATACAGCAAGCAAGAAACGGGAAAAGCCGGCGGCGTATTACGGAAAGAGTGGAAGGAAATTGGGAAGTTCAATAGCACGATAGGTAGGATGGGTAAGGGTGCGGGTGGTTGCACCAGAAGTTGAAGGTGGGGGAGCCCTTTTCTGCAGGAAATTTCCCCATTGACAGGACCGGCTCTGTAGCAGAAGCGGTGGTAAGAGACAAGGGTCAGATTTTCTTGACACCATGAACTAATCCTGTCAATAGAGGTACCTTACATGGGTTGAAATTGAGGAATTTGGCCCTTGTGTTTTGGCGCTGGATGTCTGCTGCAGGTCTGCGGCACTAACTTCTGTCGTTTTCGTGATAAAAGTTCTCCTGATGGATTTCCTTTTAGGGACAAAACATCAGTGGCGATGTCTCACTTTCAAGGCTCTTGGCAGCAGCTGACCTCTTGAGGTAAGGCCTGAACGTTCATTTTCAGCGCTATTGTCTGTCTGTGTAAGCAAATGATCCGATTGGTCGGTTAGGAAACGACCCCAAAAATATTTACATTAGTAATGTGTACACAGTTCTGTTTGAGCATACCACTGTCATCATTTCCATAATGGGCGAAATCGCAGACTTCATTGATTTTTCATTTTCATTTCTTTTTCATCGCTCATCTCAGCTCAAATTCTCACCCATTTCATATACTGTCTCTTCATGGCTTCTTGCATGATGCCACGTTTTTTGGAAAGTGCCGAGCTAGGCTTTAAAAGCAAGGCGCTTTCGGGCTTGGAGGGGGCACTAAGCACTTTCGCTAGATCCCTTTATTAGCTCATGTTGTGTAACAAGCCTCGTTTTGGTAAGACCTGTAAACTCAAGGCTGCGAATGGTGCCAGTGAGCCACTTCTTCACAGGATTTTACAGTTCTTCACAAAGTGGCTTGCACAGGGTTTGCTTAGTATCCTGTACAGGCCACGTTGCCCTGCCCTCACTAAGCGGAACTGCGCCAAATTTTGAATTGAATACTTATAAGGGGTTGAAGAGGAGGGTGACGCGGTTGATGAAAGTTTTACTAAAGTTTTACTTGTGTGCGCCATGCATACAGTACCGTCCCTAATTTTTGAAAAATCGGCAGCTGCGACGAATCCGTCCGCCTTTGCTATAACTACCCAAAAAGTAGGCGAAATGATCAGGCTAGCTGATAGGCTTGCTCGCAAAAAATCTAGCGGTTGTGAATCTTCGGCGCTGTTCGGCTTTGGAGGAGCATCTTTGCTTATCCGCTGGTTCCTTTTGCTCGATCCTGTAAGATTCCACGTCAGTTTGATGACACCTCTAAACTGTCGCCAAAACTGGACGAAGCTGCTGCTATTACATAGCTTTAGAGGGATTCACAGGTCTCCACCAAAGGAATCGGCAGTGATCGATTGCAACCAGCAAAATGCCCCCCCCCCTCAAGCCGAACTCCGCCCTTTTGAACGTAGCTATCGCTCAGAGTTCTGCTAGAATTCAAATTTCACATTTCCAATTCGATATCACTATGTGTTTGCTCGGCTGGAATTCATTTCAATAGATTTCATTCGGCAGCCATGCATAGCTTTTTGGTGTTTTACACGTCTATTCTTGTGCCCCTCCCCACAAATAGCGTTTCCGTTTGTGTTGGAGGAGGGCAGCGCTTCAATTTGCACCCACTCTTTCTATGGCTGTCGGCGAGCTAATTATGGGTGAGGTCCCGAGTTCTCAGACGTAAATTGTTGCTATGCTATTACTAGGCCGTTGTGACCAGCCATTACTCTTTCTTACATCTTACTCGGTGGCTTCTTGTATTATTTTGTTCCTTGTGAAATACACATTTGATTATTCTTCAGAAGGCATAATTCATCTTGGCGTTGTTCGGCTTGGAAGGGGGCATTTTTGTTTTTTAGCTAGTTACTTTTACTAGTACATATCAGTTGACAGGCTAGCAAAATTCAACTATATCTGAAAGTTGGTCAAAAGTCTGTTTTCTATCACCGTTCTCTCGCTTCACGGGTGTTTTGGGAGGGGGTGGGGAGGGAGTCGTATGGAGAATTCTGCCGTACAAAGCTTCGGACAAACGCTGGGTGGGGGAGGGGCAGTAATATCGTGCTGAACAACCAATTTTCCTCATCGCCATGGCGTGCCCTAGTTCTCCACAGTCATAGGAATTCTGATCCTTATTGAAGATGACAGACTACAGGTTTTCTTGAACCATTTTGGAACACCCATAGACCTTTCCTTAGTGAAGAAGAAGCTTCTTCTGGAAAATTCTGGAAGATGCTAGGTAGGATTGGGGATGGGGAAGGAGTCGCTTCAGAGGGGAGAAGCACGGGGGGGGGGGGGGGGTGGGGCATATTTTGCGGAAATTCTCCCCCAGCAGCAGGACGTGCCTTGAGAGGGGCATAGTGCTTTCCGTGCCAGCCTTTTATCACCATAATGCAAAACCCTCTTTTGCACTATAGGTCGGTTTCCCCAATCGGGCTTACACGAAAAACGGGAAAAACAGAAAAACAGCTACTCAACTATCTCTTCGACCCCCCCCCCTCCTTCCAAGACTTTCAAAACTTTCATTGAATGTCTGTGTTATTCGTTAGTAGGGGTCAAAAAGTCATTAAAAATGCCAACAAAATATGACAGCCTACACTGGGCTGGAATTCTCATCTTCATCACAGCAACCCGTTTTTGCGCAATTGGTCTTTAGTGACCCCCCCCCCCCCTTACAGACCTGTGCCGAGAATCCTACTGCTTCCGAGGCTACCCCCAACTGCCTCAAATTCCTGAAGAAGTCGGGAAGTTTCTTTTTCAGTTTTCTGGCTTTTTATGTTTTTGAAGCGAATGTCTTGATGACGATAAGTTGTGCAGCAATCTCGGCGAGTAATCTATTCAGAGGGAGCAAAGAGTAATCGTTGTGTCATTGAGTGAGGATGAGCCGTAGAAGATTAATAGGCTGAGTCCTAAATCGGAGCGCTGAGACAGCCATGAGACTTGCCGCTTGGCTGAAAAGGCTGCCGTGGTTAAGCTAGGACCGCTAAGCTGACTCGAAACTTGTCTAGG